AGAAAACCTTACTACTAACTAAAAATCTTAATTACTGGGTGCCAAAGGTCAGACTAGAATCGTGAAGGATGTCTTAAAAATCTGCTTCATAATTTGAAATCCGTACTTGTTAAGATATAAATACCTGTTTTAAATGTATGTGCAATATGTTTTTTAGTAAAAATCTACCTGAAAAACAAACTAAACTTGTAATCTACCTACTGGTACAGTTGTTGGCTATCAAAATACTGGTGATTTTTTTACCTCAAAATCAACATCTGCAAGAAAATGTGTTCTCCCAAAAAAGACACCAGTTTTTGTTTAGTGAATAAAAATAAATAAAAAATAAAAATATATTAATAATGTAGGACAAAATATAGAAAACTCTTTTTGTACAAAGTTAGCTATAAATGTAGGATTGATCAAAAAGCCAAAAAAGAGATCTCACTTAGCATTTTGCAAGTTTGTGTTTAGAAAACATTTAAAATAGTCTTTCCATACTACCAGGTGTACAGATGTATGGAACTAAAAGTTTTTTGCTTAAGTTACTTCTTTATTTTCTCAACAGGGAATAAAATAATGCTTTATTCCCCCCTTTTTGACTAATAATAAACAGGCAGTTCGTTCCCTCGAGAATACAATAAATAAAATACGTATTTTTACTCTTAATATAAACTGAAATTAAATAAACTGAATTTTTTGAGTATCTCTTAACATAAACAAACTCCTTGATACCGAATTTTAGCCTTAAAATTGCAATCCCTTCGTCGCCTCTGGCATTACCAACCTACATTCTCGGTATTATAATAGTTGTTTATTCCCTTGATACATAAATAACTATGAAAAAACTAATCGATAATTGATAATGATAAAATACCGTCCGATAAAAAAATAAATAAATTAGAGTAGGCAGTGATTAAAGCCCTTCAGATAGCCATCCTAATTTTTGACATCAAAGGTCCGCGGAATTTTTGACAAGTTTGCGTTTTATTCCTTTTGAGTGAAATAATGTTCACTTTAGAGCAGAACTTTTTTTATTGCTGTACAAGACGAAAACGGCGAATGGTCATTTTCACTTTCAGTTTGTGTGGAAAATTTCCAGCCCAGATTCCCAGCCAATGTGTTGCCAACTGTAGAATTTAATCGACGCCTACTTTAATTTATTTATTTTTTTGATGGCAACCCACTATAAAACCTTTTTTGACAAAAGCTATGATCTGTGAATTACAAATAATATCTATATTTTATTCCATTCTTACCAAAAAAATTTTCATATACCTACTTACAAAAAATCGGATAAATCAAACAAATTTTGTGGAACCTTAATAATAATAGCAATAACCAAGCAGAACTTTTGTATTTATAGAGGGAATTTTTTGGTCCAATTTATAAAAATTTAAAAAAAAAAAACTAAAGTCAAAAGCCCCTTTGTAATAACTTAATAAGTTATCATTTTATTTAAAAAAATCAATATATTACGAAGATTTTGAATGACTAAAAAAGCTATATACCTTTCCTGCAATTTTAAGAAAGTGTACAATTTTTCCAATATTTTGCCATTCATTTTTATTAAATAAACAAAATTAAGTGAAAAATACTACGTGTATTTTGTTGCAGACTCTATGTGGTGATTCAAAAAAAATCGATTTTTTTTGTTTTTATTTTGTTTTTTTTTTCCAAAGGCAACCCACTATAAAACTTTTTTTGACAAAAGCTATGATCTGTGAATTACAAATATATATGTTATTAGAATTTTACCAAAAAACATTTTTTCATATACCTAATGGAAGAAAAATCGCATAAACAAAACAAATTTTGTAGAACCTTAATAATAATAACAATAACCAAGCAGAACTTTTTTATTTATAGAGGAATTTTTTTTATTCCACTTTCTACAAATTCAAAAAAAAAAGAAACCTAACTAAAGACTAAGCCAAAAACCCCTGTGTAATAAGTTATGTTTATAAAAAAAATCAATATATGACAAAGAATTTAAATGATTAAAAAGCTCTATACCTTTTCTGTAATCTCCTACCTCATTTTTAACAATTTGATTTTAAGAAAGTGTACAATTTTTCTGATATTTTGCCATTCATTTTTCATCAAATAAACAAAATTAAGTGAAAAATACATACGTGTATTTTGTTGCAGACTCTATGTGTTGATTCAAATATGCTGAAATGCCAAACCTGAAAAACAAAATACACTTTCTATTCATTTCTACATTTAATATTAATATTTCTAAAAGTCGTCACTTTTTCGAGCACAAGTAAACATTGCTAGCTATATAAAAATAACTGAAAGTTAAATTTCACTTTGCTCAGGCAGTGTACAAAACTGATTAATTACCTCAGAAGTAATAATTTTACTTAAATTGTCTCGAAAACGTTTCTCTTTCAACTAAACGTGTTAACAACTTATACCGCTTAATCGCAGTGAAATTATTTGACTCATTTGTAAATCTATTGTTCATATCTAGGCTATCACGAACACATTATCTTTAAAATCAGAGAATCAGACATGTCATTATAACTCAACCAGCAAATATGCAAAATATTTTTCGCCCCAACTCCAGGCTGAAGAAATAAAACCAAAAGAAATAAAATTTAACGCTGAAGTTTAAATAATATAAAAGACCAAAAAATAACAATTTTCAACAAAATTATGACTATAATAGTACTACATTTTTAGGCAACCTTCACCTACTTCTACTACTATTATTATTATCTTAATGTAAATAAAAATTGCTAAAAAATAGTGTCAGGTCAGTCACGCCCCCAAATCCTTCTGCTTTTGTTTTTTTTTTTTGAATTTCTCTGTTTTTGCTGTAATTACTACTAAACGGAAGTAAATTATAAAACCTCACATTTGTACACACATAAAAACTTTGTCATTGGTCATTTTTAGAGCATAAAATATGAAACATTGCCTAAAGCATCTGCTACGCCGTATTGATCAAAATAACAATACAAGCGTTACTCTTCAGTGAGCAATGTAATGGAAAGGGTGGTCACCACATGTAAACAAACGGTAACAAATAGATCGAGATTTTTTTTTAACAACACCAACACTCCAATTAATAAAAAGGTCCAAGGTTTTCTTCTACAATTCGTGCGGAAAATAATCAGACACTATGAAGGCTATGTCAGTTTGAATAGTTTTTTTTTTATTTAGGCCTAGTTTATTTTTATTGACCCAGACAATATTTTGCTGAAATAATTTCTAGTCGGCGAACATAATTCATCACGATTTGTACTACAATGTGTGAATATATGACACGCAAAGAACATCATCTTGAACATGACCTTGCTTTATGCTTACAATGTGTACTTTCTTGTTACAATGCTCACATTAGAGATCATTCAACAAAATTATTTTTAATTACGTCGCTGGAATTATGAAATGAGGTGTCAAAATTATAATGGGGTTAAACGTTGCTACACTTAAAAAACTGCAAAATCATGGCTGTTTAGCGTTAATCCGAATAAAATGAAAGCTGTCATATATCATTTCCATTATGAAAATGACAACAATTAAACTTCCATTAATCAAAATTGATATCTAAATTGTCTTTGCAGCGAACATAAAAAGACAAGGATTTTTCCACGTATTTATCACCCAAAAAATATGATTAATGGGAGTTGTAATGACAAGTAATGGTACCTACAGAGTAATGCTTTTATGTGACAAACAATTAAAAAAAATTAAAAGTAAGCACACATTTAATAAAAATAAATAAATAAACAAACATTATTAGAACGAAATTGTCAAGACCAATGGTTTTGAAGCGACAAAAAAATTGAACTACAGTAAAACCTCGATAAATCGAACCAATTTGCTCAGATTACTTCAGATAATAAAAATACTATTTTTAATAAAAAAAAGTCATGAAAACATTAAAAAAACATGGAACCATTTTACCGACTATTAATTATTTTATTAATATTTTTATTAATTTTTATTAAAAAAAATTACATATAAAAAAATCGTATATATATCTCTCAAACGTCATTTGATATATTCAGTTAACTGAATGAATAAGTATGTAGTATGTTAAGTACTTTTTTACTGAAAAAACTGTACCAGGTGAATAAAAAGTATGTAACCAAATGTTTTTTGCTTTAACCAATTATTTTTTGAAAAAAGTAATTGATGAGTGATAAAGACCTATAAGAAGAATAACATTTTTTGAAATTTTCTGTTGTTTTTGAGTTCTACGAAATTTTTAAGTTTTTAGGTATAAATAGCAATTCACTATAAAACCATTTTCCTCAAAGGTTATGACCTAAGAATTACAACCATATACTCTATACAGGGTGCGCCAGAACTCGCGTCCCAGAGAAAATTTTGAAGTAAGGTACGATACCAGAAACATGAAAAAAATTCTATCTGTCAAAAAATTTTGACATATATTTTTTGACATTTGACATTTTTTTTATATCTATTTAATGATACTGATGATCTTGTATATGTTTTTTTTTTACAATTATTTAGTAAAGGGACAAAAATTTTGCTAATAAAAGCCACAAATAACATTGAACAGAGTTACAATTTAGGATACAGCTTCCTTATTTCCTCTTTTAATAGCCTATAGCAAAAAAACTTGGAAAATTATTTTTCCAACAGAAATAAATAGAGTCAAAGTGCAAACTTTAAACCCTCATAACTTCGAAATTTTTATAGATAAAATTTTTTAAACATTTTTTCCATGTTCCTGGTATCTTACCTTATATGGCATTTTTCTCTGGGGCGCAAGTTCTGGCGCATCCTGTATTTATTATTTAATTTTTTCAAATTTTTTTTTTTACATGAGTTGTAATTTTTAAAATAAAATCGCATAACAAAAAAAAATCAAAATTTCGTTCCCAAAATACGATCACATTTTTATATTACATACTTTAATTTATATTAATTATTATTTTCTGGAATCTGGAGACAAAAAACTGCTTGGTTCCATACTTTATAATCACCCTGTATAAATATGAACAAAAATAATAAATCTAAACTGGACACCCCTCGCAGTTTTAGCGAAAATAACTCAATTATATATTTATAAATAGGTATCAGATATTAATTTCAGCAAACATTTAATGAAAAAAAAAAACATTATTAGAATGAAATTGTCTTTAAGACTAATGATTTTGTACACAAAGTTTCATGAAATATTTTTTGAAGTATAATAAAACCTCGATAAACCGAATCAATTATGCTCACATTAATATGGTTACTTCAGACTTCAGATTATCAAAATACAATTTTTGATAAAAAAAAATCATAACATTAAAAAACATTATTAAAATACATACAGAGTGAATAGAAAGTATGGAACCAAGCGGTTTTATTTTTAGTCATTTGCCTCCAGAAAATAATAATTAATATAAATTAAGGTAATATAAAAAATGTGATCGTATTTTCAGAACGAAATTTTGTTTTGTTTTTGAGTTATGCGATTTTTTTTTTGTCAAAATTGCAATTTATGTGAAACATTTTTCTTGAAAAAATTAAATGTAAAGCAGATAGAGTATAGCTTTTATGAGAAAAATGATTTTATAGATAGTGGGTTGCCATTAAAAAAAATTAAGTTTCCTTAAGTTTTGAGTAGAACTCAAAAACAAAAGGAAATTTCGAAAAATTTTATTTTTGTTAAATCATCACATTTTTATAGTACTTTATGACTCATCAATTAGTTTTTTCAAAAAATAAATAGTTTAAGCAAAAAACGTTTGGTTCCATACTTTTTATTCACCTGGTATAAAGATATAGTGTAGACATACAGAGTAACTCAAAAAACCGGGCCGTCACATGGAGATTTAACAACTTTTCATTCCCTTTTGTTAACATTTTATTGTCACTGTTGATTGATTTTTGTTAATAAAATAACACATTAAGAAAAAAATCATATAAATCTGTCACACGTTGACATTTTCAGCTAACTGAATGAACCTAAGTATGTATATTAAATCCTTTTTTACTGAAAAAAAAAACGGTTTTCAAAATCAAAAATATCCCTGTTTTAGTTGTTACAGACTTTGAAAAACAATTATTAAAAAATATTGACAAAAATAAAAGAAACCTAAAATGGACACCCCTCCCAGCTTTAGTGGATATTATTACTCGTATATAAATATTTACAAATATCAGGTATTAAATAAAAAAAATATTAATAACCAAACATTATCCGAACGAAATTGTCATCAAGATCAATGGTTGTTTTGTACACAAAGTTTCATCAAATATTTTTTGAAATACAGTAAAACGTCGATAAGCCGAACCAGTTTATGCTCGCATTAGTATGGTTACTTCAGATTATCAAAACCAAAAAACACATAACAACATTAAAGAAAAAAACATTATTAAAAATACACTAAATATACAGAGTGATTAAAAAAACGCAACGTGGGTGTAGTTTTTAAATACAAACAAAAACTTTTTACTAGCTTTTATTTACATTTTACCGCCACTATTAATTGATTTTTATTAAAAAAAATAACATATTAAGAAAAGAATTGGATAACGCCATTTGATATTCAATGAAAATATGTGTTAATATTTTTTTCAAATCACTTAAACTCTCACATGTTCGGACATTAAAAGTAATAGTTAATTTGTTCGCATTAAAGAGGTTGCACTGTATTCAATTATTATTATACGTTTTAAAATATGATTCTTTAAAAACCAATAGTCAAAATAATGTTGTCCTCTTGATGTTTCATAAGCCTTATTTTGTAAAAATCGCATACTTCTCACACTTCACGAATGTTGACACTAAGTGAAAAAAATTCTACATTTTTGTAATTACTATAAAATTGGCTTCTTTTTTGTTAGGATATGTTGCAATAGTTGTTTTGCATAGCAATCACGAGTACAAATCCTTGTACTGACTTTCCAAGAAAAGCTTCCTTCGCGTATTGGGAAATCAAGGAAAACTCATTTACCTCTTTTAGAGACAAAGAAGTTTTTTCAAATATGACAAAAATCTAATCTGTTTCCAGAAGTGGTGTTACGTCAAGCGGATTGGTAAAAAATAATGAACGTGTGTAAGTGCAACTGTAAAATGTATTTTTAATTATCCCGTACGGTATGAAACATATATCTCGCGTGCAAAGCTGTGGTCGTGTCATGCGACCTTTAAACTGTGTCATTAACTTTTTCCTATAGACATTACCGAGAAGAGGGTCAATAGAGAAAG